ACAGTTTTCAGAAGGTGAACTGATGTGGAATGGGTAGAGGGTTACCTTTGCTCAAAAATAACACGCTCTATAGTTTTCACCTCTTCCCTGACTGTCAGAACTTGTTTCCACAGCTTGTCTTAAGGCACCTATTTTGCAAGAACAACTCCAAAATCAGACAGTTTTATTTTCTGTTGTTTGGATTTCTGTGGTGTTGCCGTATGAGGTTTAGGCCAGTGGCCCACAGAATTACATCTCAACACTTTTGGAAAGAATATTGTCTTCCTGGAAAATATACAATCCATATTATACTACTATATAAAATATTTTATGGACTGCAAAACCAAAAAAGTCCAAAAAACTCTGGGAATAGCAGGGAGCATAAGTACTTCTGGCTGAACTTAGTCAAGAAACAAATAAAAATGCCTACAGCTGACTTCTAAGAAATTTGCAGTTCCCTCCTCTCTATCTATTTATTCTGATTTTAATATTATAAGAAACCATAATTTATCTCATCATAAGCTCTGTTTTTAAAAAAAAAAAAAAAGAAGGGGGGAGGAGAGAGAGGGGGAAGAGAAAGAGAACTTACAAGTAAGTTTTTCTGCATCCTCCACCCCCAACTGATTACACAACTCTCGCCCGCCTTCTTGTTCCTGTTCTTGATCATGACAATGCAAAGCTAGTCAGCTGGCAGACTGCAGGCCACATGAACCAAGACCAACCAAATTGGTCACAACTAAGATCAAGTGCCATGGTGCACTCTGAAGCCAGCCCACAACTTCAAAACAGCCTAGGAAGCTTAACGAGATTATTAACTACCTCTAAGCTCAAGCATCAGTAAGACTCAGGGTATCCCTTGGATATTTTAATAACCAGTCTTGAACAAGAAATCAGGCCTAACTCTAGCAAGTACAATAACACATTCGCTAACAAAAATGGCAATGAAGTGTTTTATTAAAAATGCTGAGGGGAAAAAAATTGTTATCAGATTTTTTGGAGCATGCCATATACATCTTCATATGTACCAGAATTACAAAGGCATTGAGTTTTGCACTGCCTCTTCCTCTTCACCCACAGCACAGACCTTCTCCAGGCTGACCAGTCCAGAACTTGAATTGAGCGAAGAGTCAGAAACAATATCTATGGGGTCTAGAGAAGACAAGACAGGAAAAACAGCACTGACAATAGCCGAGGACAAGAACAAAGGAGCAGTTGATACCAATCATAAATCATGACCTGCAGCTACAACGGCACCCCAAAATAAGCACTGCTTTCAAGCATTACATAAAATTGTAACAATAGACTACTACTAAAAATAAAGCTAACTTGATATCAAGTCTAGTCGCAGCACAGAATCTACTTTTCACACTGGTAAATGGAGACCTGATTGTATGATGCTGTGAGCACAGACTATCTACTTTTAAAATTTTTTTTTTCCAGAATCCTCTTCAAAAGGGCCAAAGACTTCACATACACTCAACACACTGAACCACAAGTTTGCACAATCAAACTTCTACTTTCTTTTTCCCTAAACAAAAGCTATGTGTACACAAACAAAGCAAAGTAGAATCATGTCCATTACTACCCATATGCAGTTTTCCTTCTTGCAGCCGAGTCTTCTCCCACTGCTGTTCCACAAAGTTCTGGCATGCAACTCATTGTTGGAACAGACCAAGACCAAACACAGAGAAGTGAAAGCAGAAACATCTCTTTAAAGATGACATTTTGAGACATTGTGAAAGAAAAGCATGAAAAATGACGTAATGGATAATGTGTTACCGTCTTCACTAGCAAACAGAAGTTCTTTGAGCACACTCTGAAACTAAGGGATTGGGTGGGAGGAAGACAAGGAAGAGAAGCATTGCACTGAGTCCTCCTGACTTTAAAAGATGGCTTACCATTTGGGACTGTCTAATTGGAAGAAGACAAACTGTGAAAACAGATAACTGGAAACAGGGCTGTTATCCTTGATCTCAGCAGTACTTTGTTCATTGGCTACTGTCACAGGGTAATACACCAGCTGCAACTCTATCGACACACAAAATATGCCAAGGTTAGGAAGTAAATACTCTATTTGGATGGGAGACGAAAGGTCAAATTTCACCCACTGCAAAACCAGACATTAAAAAAAAAAACAAACCAACAACAGAAAACCTCCGTGATAATGAAGATACACGTGGCATCTGCCAATTCACAAATAGGAAATGAGAGAACTACCCGCACAGCTGACGTGAACAAAGTATAGTGGAGCTGTAAAGGAAAGGTGAGACTGGGTCTGTAATGAGTGACACAGAAAGACCAGCGCTACTCGTGAGAGAAAATACAGAGGAAACACAGCATAAAAGGCAGGAACTGTCGGTTCCTGTTGCCTATGCATCTGAAATACATAACATTCCACTCCGTGAGCCTCAAATTCAAGAATATATGAAATTCAAGGAAAATCTGGAAGTAACAGAAGAAACGAATTACAGAGATGTCTTTGAAATTAAAAGAAAAAACAAACAAACAAACAAACAAAACAAAAATAAATGAGTCATCCTAAGAAATAATTAAGGCCTGGAAAGCAACACTATTAGAACTTCGAAATTTTTAAGGCCTACCACTTTAAGCACTTATTTTTGGATTAGGGTGGAGGGGAAGTCAGGAGAGATGAATCTGGCACAAATCATATGGTTAATAACCAGGGGTAATGAAGAGAAACTGAAAACAATTGAACATAGCAGCTATAAATCACTGAAGTTCTCAGAAGAGAGACTTGGATTAAGGTCTGGACTGGTTTGCTAAAGGGAAGGAGGAGTCATCAAATGGTCCCTTGAAAGTCAGATTGGGGAAAAATTATACACCAAACAAAATTACTTGTAGGAACAGTTCTGTTCCAGCACCAGAATGGATCAAATTATCTAAATTTAAAACAAAAACCTTCTGATTCCCTCCAATGAATATTACATACACAATTGAAATAATTCTGCTATTTATATCAAATTAGCTAGAGTGCTGTGTCCCAAACAGCACATCAGCCATAGGTGAAATTAAACAACTAACGCAAAAATTGGATTGCCAAGCTGCTCTATGGGTGGATTTTAAACATGATCACAGAAATCAGAGGCTCTTGCTCTGCTATCTTCCTCTAATCATCCATATATGCAAGGATAATATCCACCCTCAACTGCGGCTTTCATGACTTACTGGCGTTTATAATGAACTACCAGGCATGCCTCATCTTTGTAAGTAGAGAGGCAAAATAATCTGTCAGTAAACACTGACTTACATTACGCAAATCTTCTTTTCTGTCTTTTAGTTCAACAGAACTAGAAAGAGATGATTCATGGTAAGTACAGACAGAAAGGTTTCTGCAGGCCCACACCTGCAATATTTCCCCATAGAAGTGGCTGCACCACAATCCAGCAGCATGCCTTACGCTCCCCCTGTTGAGACACACCTATGCACGTGTTGCGTGAAGTCACTCCGCGCCATCACTGAGCCTCAAGATGACGAGAGCCTACACAGAGCTAGTATACCTCAGGGAGTGATACTATGATGTAGCTTAAATACTCACAGTAAAAAATTACATAATCTTATCAATATAACTGCATTCTCTTTCTTTTGAAGTGTTGACAAATCTTTTAACATTGACATAAATTATAACTTTTAATTACTTGTACTATTTATTCTTTTGCACATATCTTAATTAGATATACTTAAAATCAACTCAAATTAAAGATCCTTCAGTTCTATAGCCCAAGTTTCATTTAACAGATGCACTGGCCTGGGTTACCTAGAAGCTGCCAGCATCTCCCCTCAGGTGCAAATCGTTTGTATATTTCAAGTACCTCCAGTGAAACAAAAAAAAATTAGACAATTTCTATTTCTCAAACTGCCAACTCAAACTTTTCACTCCTCCTCCCCGCCCCCGCCAGTTCCTCTATTTCCCTTCTGCTCTCTGCTTTCTCCAACAGCCGCCCCATACACTTCTCCCCAGAAAAACACAGGCCCAATGCAACAAGTAGCTCTGATCTGGTGACAACTCCTCAGTTTGATTCCCAGCTGTGGTCCCAAGAGAGAGTCCCCTCTTTGCTCCACTCCAGGACAGCACCTACGCGTTGCATTTTGCTGTAGAAGAATCCTTATACTTAAAAGGGTCAGAGGAGCTTTAAAAAGAAACTTGGAACCAACAAAAGGCATAGCCTGTCACCTATCAGTTCTTTGTGGATTACAAAGCAGTATTTTGTAGTCAAAATAGTCTTAGAATAAGTGTTCTTAGTTGCAGTAATTTCCCAGACTATTTCATCTTTGGTTTCTCAAGTACAGCCCCAGTGTTGTAGCATCCATATTACAAGAAGTAACGAGGAATATAAGTTAATAAAATTAATTCACGGAAATCATGCCCTAATAATATTTTCTTTGTGCAGGAACATAAGATCTAAATATGGAAACAAACTTGCTTTTAAATATTGAAAGTGGTATTGAATACAAAAAGAATTTGCTTTGAAAGACAGCCCACCTTTTGCCTACTTATCAAAGAACGAATATTTTCATCTATAGTTCTGCATGGAGCTCTAGAAGTCAGCTGGCATCCCGGGAAAATGCAAGAACATACGGCAAGTATCCCAATGACGTTAATACCAACTAGGCACTAGAATAAGCATGCAGGACCAGGGCCTTCACTCTGAGAACAGAGCTTGAGGGGTGAGGGAAATGTAAAATACAGTCAGCAAGAAAAAAGATCTGACTTAGAATAAACCTTTTTTCTTTACCAGCAAGTTAAAAAGTTGCATCACGGAACACCTGAGCACTGATAAACCAGATCTGACAAGGGTAACTGACATCCCTTCTGAGCCCAGTTCATTTTACTCAATGAAGATGCACCGACTTACAGAAAGACAGTATTCTGATCTTCAAGAGAGGTGGGGAAGTACATAAAACACATTATTTCCTCAAGCGTTCCAAATCAAAGCTTTACAACTAGCCGCAAGCAAGAACCTTTAGAACCGGGCAGACACAAACACACAAAACCAACTTACCAAAAAAGTATCCGCAAAATGTTTGCGACCAGTAACACCAGGCAGACGTAGGTGGAGAAGCCCTCTGCGTTCTGTGTCCGCCGGATGTCTCTGTACTGGGGAATGTAGGGCACCACGCCGCCGAACACCATGGCCCCCGCAGCACCCCACAGCACCAGCTGGTGCATGGGGACC